CCGGCACTTATGTCTTGTTGAGTTTCGGTTTCGTGTCGGGTCCGGACACTCGCGCTACATGTTCTGTCTTGTTGTGGGAACGTGCGATCTCGAGTTCGCTCAGCCGTGCGCTGTTCTGTCCACGTGTTTTGTGTAGCACGCGGTTTGTGTTCAGCCACGTGCTTTTCTTGTTGTCTTGTGTTGTTGTTGCACACAGTTCATGTTATCGGCTGCGTGCTTTTCATGTCCTGTTTTGTCTTGTGCTGTGTAGCACGCAGCTTGGTTTTCGCTGGCTGCGTGCTGTCTTGTCTTGTGTGAACATGCGGCTTATGAGTTTTCTCATTAGCTGCGTGTTCGTGTCTTGTTTTGTTCAAGCACATGGCTTGTGATTGCTTTTCTGGCCATGTGCTTGTGTTTGTTTTGTGTGAGCACATGGCATATTTCTTTGTTTCCTATGTACAATGTGCTCTCATGTCAATTGTCTTGACCCCACCCATCTTGTTACCTGATTATTGGTTAATTTACCCCACATGTGTTCCCTCGTTACCCTCCTCATTTGCTCCCTATTTATTCTCCTTGTGTTTGCAGTCCCGTGCCAGTTCGTCATTGTATCACCATTGAATGTATTCTGTTGTGTCGTGTCCTGTCCTGATCCTGCCTTGCCTTGCCAACCTGTTTTTCCCCCACGGGGTAGTTTTTTTTGTTAGTTTTGTTTTATTTTACTATTAAAAGCCCATTACTCTGCACTACTGAGTCCTCGCCTCATTCCTTCATCCCCAACCCTGACAGTATCCCTTTAAACTTTAAAGCGTTTCATCCAGGTCGCTAGTAGCAAACAATGGAGCGCGCTCTGCTGGACAAACTATGTAATTACACCATTTACAAACATTTTATCTGCGTTTTATGTTCTGTAAAAAAAGTTAATATCGGCGGCCGATACCAATATATCTGCGACAGGCTCATATCGGCCGATAAAATCGGCAAAACGATATATCGGTTGGGCTCTAGTCATAACCTCTTCATTTAAAGGAAAGTATTGTGATTGAAAGTTCACAGGTAGAGTCTGCATGAAGAATTAGTGGTATTTTTTGATCATACAAGAATATTTTGTTTCATTGATGTGTCTTTTTATAAAAGTCATGCATTGCAATAAAAAGTATGACCTATTGGTTTTCCCAAACCTGATGAGTATATTTTTATGTAACACAAAAGGAATTTTATGAATTAAGGAATTTTTACTCTTAGCTTAAAAAAAAGCTTTCAAAAGCACCATAAATGTATCATAAAAGTGGTACATATGATTTCTGCACTATTTTTCTGAGTCTTATGATAGCTTTGTTTTTTGTTGTTCATTGAAAATCTTGACGTGTTTAATGAATCCGTTGATCAAACACCATTCTGAGCGTTTTGTTCATTGCATCTTGGTGATGTTTTGCTATATCTCTCATGAACATAAGCTGGAGCTAATGTCAAGATATTCAGTGAAAAGACATGTTGCAAAAGCTGCAAATGCAATGGTGAAGTGTCTGGTGCAAAACGCAATGCTTTTTAAAAAGTAAAAAGTTAAACTATATTCTCCTTGGAATATAGTTTTCATATGTACTACTTTTATCATACTGTAAACAGCATGGAAAAGTAGCCAAATTTCATTCTCACGAATTTCTCCTTTTGTGTTCCATTAAAGGTTAATACTTGAGTTTTAGAGGACCAATTCACAATATTAACTAGTTTCTTATTAGCATGCATATTATTAGCATATTGGCTGTTTATTAGTACTTATAAAGTACATATTAATGCCTTATTCTGCATGACCATATTTTAGATCCCTTAATCCTACCCCATATCTAAACTTTACAACTACCTTTCTAACTATTAGCAAATTAGGAGTTTGAGGCAAAAGTTGTGGCTAATAGTAAGAATTGGTCCCCAAACTAAAGTGTGACCCATGAAAGTCAGTCATACGGGTTTGAAACATGAGTGTGAGTAAGTGATGACAGATTTTTCATTATTGGGTGGACTCTGCTTTTAGTAGGCCTGTTGTGTAATTCACAGGGAAAGCTGTATGATTACTGGAAGCCCCCACCAGAGGATGAGGTGTCCAGCTGTCCTCAAGGCAATTCAGAGAGTGCAGAAGAAACAGAGTGGAGCGGTGCAGAGTCAGATAAAGATGCTGAGAGCAAAGAGGAAGATTGTGAGGAACCTCAGCCTCTGCAGAGTGAGGTGAAGACCGAACGGGATGATGAAGATTGTGTGGAAGACATGAGTGATGTAGCGGAGAAAAATTATGAGCCAAAGCAACAGATGATGGAACTTGAGGACGATAGAAAGTTTGAACCAATATCTGATGAAGAGCTGTTTGAAACTCACGAAGACTCAGAGTGTGAGGAACCTCAGCCTCTGGAGAGTAAGGAGAAGATCAGACGAGATGATGAAGATTGTGTGGAGGACATCAGTGATGTAGAGGAGAAAAATGATGAGCCAAAGCAACAGATGATGGAGCTAGAGGACGATAGAAAGTTTGAACCAATATCTGATGAAGAGCTCTTAGAAACTCACGAAGACTCAGAGTGTGAGGAACCTCAGCCTCTGGAGAGTAAGGAGAAGATCAGACGAGATGATGAAGATTGTGTGGAGGACATCAGTGATGTAGAGGAGAAAAATGATGAGCCAAAGCAACAGATGATGGAGCTAGAGGACGATAGAAAGTTTGAACCAATATCTGATGAAGAGCTGTTTGAAACTCATGAAGACTTGGAGTACGAGGATGATGATGATCTCATGAACAGAGAGGAGGAGCTTCTAAAAGATGAAGAGCCTCATGAGTAAAACAGAAAGTACATACCTGTAGAAGAAATCACTGAGACGTTAGAGAAGCTCAAGGACTTGTTAGAGAAAAACAAAGCTGTTAGAGATGAAAGGGGAAATGAAGGAAGGGGTTTGAGAGGGATGGGTTTGGAGGCGTCTGAGAAAGAACAGAAATATTCTCAGGTCATTTTGAGAGAATTTTACACCGCACCTTTGCTATCATCCATGCATAAATACTGTGTGGGGTTTTGTGCTTTTATTAATTGTTATAGCATCTTTCAGTAACACATCATGCATGTAGCTGTTTACATCTTGTTTATAATATATTCTGTGTATGTGTTTTGCATTTACCAGTTGTCCTTCATTTGTTTTTACAAGATTCTTCTTTAAGATATGGGATGTCTTATCGAATGTTTGGCCTCCGTTTCTCTGAAAATGAGACCATGAGAACATATTTTTATGTACATACATTTCATTAGTTATTACTTGTAATATCTATATGGTTAATGTGCACACTGATAGTTTTCAGGATCTACTCTTTATGCTGCTGTCTAATCTATTCCATTTTTTTACTTTGCCAAAAATCTGGGGCATCTTTATCCAGAAAATATTACTATAACGGCAAAAGCAAGGGCTTAAATAATTGTCAACTTTTTATGTGGGTTCTAAGGATGTTTAAGCATCTCAGTAGGTTTGAGTACAGAGTGAATATAGTGTATTTTTTATTATTTTGTTGTTAGCAATCCAGTCTTCCTCAAAAAAGACAAAATTCAGAGTGATGTTTGTCATAAGGATTCTTTAAAAACTGATTTATATATTTCTTAAAAAAAATAGTGTGAGATAAAATCCTTTGGCTATTTTTATGAAAATAAATATTTGTTCTAATAAAAAGGTCTTTGTGTTTCCACTCACACTCCAGACTAGCCTGGTCTTACAAGTGTTTACATCATAATCTTACACTGTTCTTGTCTTCCAAATGGTGGTGGTAATGGAGCAATATGTACGATTTTAAAAAAGAACGCCTTTTGCATGCATATTCAGAAATGTGTTTTTCGTATTGAGCATTAGTCTATTGCTTTTCGGATCTCCATTCTGCTATCAGCATATTTAACAATGAACAGATTGCATGTTTTAACAGTGCTCTTTGTTTATAATCATAATTGTGTAAGTGTGCTTTTTCGCGAAGATAAAAAGACAGCGAAGGAATGTGGTAGCCCAAATATTTCCCAGGAGCTCAGATGTTTTTTTCCAATAATGCCGACCGTCAGCGGCGTGTTTGCTGTTGGAGCGCATTGTTTGAGATGGAGAAGTGGCGCAGGAGGGCGTACAGTACCTGTGTCGAGGCTCACACACAGCACAGCGACTATCACAGCTGAGTTCATTCCGCGTCTGCGCTCTGTCTCACGTTACTTGGCTTTACACTAACTGCTAGACGACTTTTCTGCGTTTTTGGGCGATTTGTGACGAAAGACATTTTAGTAAGTAGACCACTTTGATACCGTACACGTTTTCTTATTCTTTTTGTGATATTTGTTGTCAGTGCACGTCTGTATCTTAATAGTGAGCATCGCACGAAAGATTAAGTTCTCTCTGACAGTTCGGTATGAACAAGTCTCTTGCATACTGTTGAGTGAAGACAACATCCTTTAGACGACAAGAAAAGCTTTAATATAATTGAAATGAAATTATAATTTTGCACAGACGAAACCTCAACGTATATGGCAAGCCGCTTAAACCTTTATTCCTTAAAAAGGACTGTTTTTGTTACTAGTACTTTTGAATAATTACAAAGTAAACGAGTAGAATTATTTTGTGTTTTACTAGTATCTATTAAATTTCAGTTGTGTATATTAATTAGTAACTAATACAAGTAGCCTAACTATTCTCTTTTAATTGATGATAATCTTTCTTTTCTTTTTTTGGTAAATATTCAAATATTTGCTTAAATATCTGTTCTAGTATTCTTAGTACTAATTGAAAAATAATTATTTATAAACTAGTGTGTATTCCAGTTGTTACTTTTGGGATAGATTACAGTAACTAATACGTAATGGTACATAATAAATAGTTACTACCAATAAAACTAAAATAAGTGCCAGCAACAATTAGAATAGTCAATGTCTGAACCACAAATTTACTATTTGTTACCAGTAAAAATGGAATAGTAATTTGTCACTATTAGGATAGTAACTAGTGACTATTTAGTATTTTAAGTAGGGATGCACCGTTACCACTTTTTCCAGTACTCGCCCGATACCGATACTTCTATTTTTGGTACTTGCCGATACCGAGTACTAATACCGATATTTTTATTGCATTTGTAAATTTTTTAAATATTGGGTACAGAGACCAAAAGGGTATGTATAATGTTAGTTGGTTAACTTCATTTATCAAATAGATACAGTCAAACCTAAATTTATTCAGACACCTTCAACTTTTCTCACATTATCACAGTTTATTCGCTATAGTTTAGAAAATGGTAATAAAATATGACAAGAACTCAGAGTTAAACTGTGTCAGAACAAATTCAGCTTGATAATGCTAGATAACTATGTATGATAGAAAGGTATGATCTCCTAACTGAGATATTTTCAGAAATAGAAGTCGCGTTTTTTTTCGTCTGAAACGTGCAGCGATTTATATTCCAAAGCCACTCATATAATGAAGAAACGCTCAAGCAAGCAAAACATGCGCAACGCGTGCACGTATTTGTACTGATGCAGAATAGTACAGCCTAGCGCATTTCACACACGCTGCTAGATTCACTTTCGCTAGAAAGTCGTGTATGCCTAAGGTTGAAAATAAATGATGTTTATAGTGAATGCCCCTATAAATGGTCTTATTTTTACGATTTAGTTTTAATCCAAATGATGCGTGTGCTAAGTGAGTGAACATCAAAGATCACACAACAGAAATGC